ATTGGGCCTGTAGCATGCTGGGATGAAGGACTACCATGTTAGTTCAAATGAATGACCTTGATCCACTTTCAACCTAATGTCCTTGTTCGACAATCAAGGTCAGAGGCGTCATATGTTTAAATCTTTTAATAGGTTCTTATGAAATCTTAAGATTACAAGTGTTAGATTAATAATAGGTGAGCGATGCAGGCCCATTGGGCCTCTTGTATTCTAGGTCACAGGGGTCAAATATGTTCAAATCATTTAAACAACTTCTTCTGAATAACCAAGAGGCCTAAGGTGATGATATTTGGCCAGTAGCATTCTAGGATGAAGGGCTACCAAGTTTGTTCAAACAAGTGACCTTCAAGGTTGCAGGGGTCAACTATCTTTAAAACCTTTAAACAACTTCTATTGAATAACCAAAATGCCCAGGGTGATGATATTTGGCCAGTAGCATGCTAGGCTGAAGGGCTACCAAGTTTGTTCAAACAAGTGACCTTCAAGGTTGCAGGGGTCAACTATCTTTAAAACCTTTAAACAACTTCTATTGAATAACCAAAATGCCCAGGGTGATGATATTTGGCCAGTAGCATGCTGGGATGAAGGGCTACCAAGCTTGTTCAAATAAATGACCTTCAACAATCAAGGTCAGAGGCGTCATATGTTTAAATCTTTTAATAGGTTCTTATGAAATCTTAAGATTACAAGTGTTAGATTAATAATAGGTGAGCGATGCAGGCTCATTGGGCCTCTTGTATTCTAGGTCACAGGTGTCAAATATGTTCAAATCATTTAAACAACTTCTTCTGAATAACCAAGACGCCTAAGGTGATGATATTTGGCCAGTAGCATGCTTGGATAAAGGGCTACCAAGTTTGTTCAAATAAATGACTTTGACCCACTTTCAAGGTCACAGGGGTCTAATGTCGTAAAATCTTCAAGCGACTTCTTCTCAATAAGCAAAAGGGCCAGGGTACTGAAATTGAGCCTGTAGCATGCTGGGATGAAGGACTACCATGTTAGTTCAAATGAATGACCTTGATCCACTTTCAACCTAATGTCCTTGTTCGACAATCAAGGTCAGAGGCGTCATATGTTTAAATCTTTTAATAGGTTCTTATGAAATCTTAAGATTACAAGTGTTAGATTAATAATAGGTGAGCGATGCAGGCCCATTGGGCCTCTTATTACTTTTAACAACTTCTTCTCAGATGAAGGGCTACCAAGTTTGTTCAAACAAGTGACCTTCAAGGTTGCAGGGGTCAACTATCTTTAAAACCTTTAAACAACTTCTATTGAATAACCAAAATGCCCAGGGTGATGATATTTGGCCAGTAGCATGCTAGGCTGAAGGGCTACCAAGTTTGTTCAAATAAATGACTTTGACCCACTTTCAAGGTCACAGGGGTCTAATGTCGTAAAATCTTCAAGCGACTTCTTCTCAATAAGCAAAAGGGCCAGGGTACTGAAATTGAGCCTGTAGCATGCTGGGATGAAGGACTACCAAGTTTGTTCAAATGAATGAGCTTGACCAACTTTCAAGTCACAGGTATCAAATGTCTTAAAATCTTCAAACAACTTCTTCTCAATAACCAAACAGCCTTGGATGATAATATTTGGCCAGGAGCATATTGGGAAGAAGGGCTGGTGAGCGATGCAGGCCCATTGGGCCTCTTATTACTTTTAACAACTTCTTCTCAGATGAAGGGCTACCAAGTTTGTTCAAATAAATGACCTTCATTCATTTTCAAGGTCACAGAAGTCAAATATGTTAAAAAAAATTAAACAACTTCTGATGAATAACCAAGAGGCGTAGGGTGATGATATTTAGTTAGTAGCATGCTTGGATGAAGGGCTACCAAGTTTATACAAATAAATGACCTTGATTTATATTCAAGGTCACAGGGTTCAAATATGTTTAAAACCTTTAAAACAACTTCTTCTCAATAACCAAACAGCCTTGGATGATAATATTTGGCCAGGAGCATATTGGGAAGAAGGGCTACCAAGTTTGTTCAAACAAATGACCTTCATTCATTTTCAAGGTCACAGGGGTCAAATATGTTAAAATATTTGAACAACTTCTCCTGAATACCCAAGAGGCCTAGGGTGATGGTATTTGGCAAGTAACATGCTGGGATGAAGGGCTACCAATTTTGTTTAAACAAGCGACCTTCATCCATTTTCAAGGTCACAGAGGTCAAATATGTTTAAAACCTTTAAAGAACTTCTTCTGAATACCCAACAGGGAAAGGATAATGTTAATTGGCCAGTAACACGCTGGGATGAAGGGCTACCAAGTTTGTTCTAACGAATGACCTTCATCTATTTTCAAGGTCACATGGTTCAAACATGTTAAAAACCTTTAAACAACTTTTTCTCAATAACCAAAAGGCCTTGAATGATGATATTTGGCCAGTAACATGCTTGGATGAAGGACTACCAAGTTTGTTCAAATAAATGACCTTCATCTATTTTCAAGTTCACAGGGGTCAAATATTTTAATACCTTTCAACAACTTCTTCTCAGTAACTAAAAGGCTAAGGGTGATGATATTTGGCCAGTATCATGCTTGGATGAAGGGCTACCAAGTTTGTTCAAACAAGTGACCTTCAAGGTTGCAGGGGTCAACTATCTTTAAAACCTTTAAACAACTTCTTCTGAACTACCAAGAGGCCTAGGGTTATCATATTTTGCCAGTTAGATGCTGGGATTAGGGCTACCAAATATGTTCAAATGAATGAACTTCGCTCATATCCAAGGTCACAGGGGTCAAATATGTTAAAATCTT